GATGTTTTTATTGGTAATACAATACCTTTGTCAATTTTGTGCTATTACAACAAAATATCACAGACTGCATTGTCTGTAATGAACAAAAATTCAAATTCAATGGTGTATAAATCTGGAGAATTGGAAGATGAAATTTAGGGAAAGGTGACATTTTCCTGAAATACCCCATGGTGGCTGCACAAAGGGGTTCAAACTTTTATGATCAGTTGAGTCCTGGGATATTTAACTACATCCATTCATGGCCATCATCATGGCAAAAGTCACAGCTTCCAACACTACCGAATTGGAGATTAAGATTCCAACATATGGTTTTGGGAGATGCAGTTGCACAGTGGTATTTAGTACCTAGATTTAGTCATCTAGTCTATGAAGAGGAAATCACATCAGGTGCAGTGAGGGTGGCACTTGCGGTTGGAGCTGAAAGAGTGTGTGTGGTTATTGCAGATAGAATTCTGGTTAACAATTAAAATAGACAAAGGAGCATCTTTTTTCATGTTTTTTTTACCCAGACTATCATGTAGTATAACCACACTGTGAGTCACTAATCCTCTTTCTTATTTCCAGGGCTTTAGAGCAGTGGAAGTATTGCTGAGTTTAGACCCTTATTCACTGTTGCTATTTCTTTGTTTTCACAGCAATGCCTTTCTCTCTCACTGACTTTTCTAGTGGCTTCTATGCTTCATTTTTGGTATTGTTTCCATTTGTCTTTATTCCTTCTATCATTTCCATAAATATTTTAAAATTTTATTTATTATTTTTATTTTATGTGTATGCATATATTGCCTGCATATAAGTAAGTGCACCCATGTTGTGCAATGCCCGCAGAGGTCAGAAGAGGCTGTTGGATCCCCTGGGACTGGAGTTACGGACAGTTGTTAGGTGCCATGTGGGTGCTGGGATTCAAACCCGGGTCTTCTGCAAGAACAACCAGTGTTCTTAACCGCTGAGCCACCTCTCCAGCCCTGGCCATAAATATTTATTAAGCATACCTACTGCCTAAGGCTTTAGAGAGATAGAACAAGTTGTTTATACTTTCGAGGTTTTTACAATTTACAATAGTTTTCATATATATTCTCTTATCTAACTCTAGTGACATCTTGCTCAGTTAGAGCTCCGTTCATCTAGCAGATGCATGTTTGTTTAACTACTTTTCATTTTGAATAGGAAAAAGTTACATAACCATTAACAAAACCATGTAACAATAGCAAAAGTCATCCATGTTAAGGTTTATATGGGTTGTTGTTATTTATATAAAGTTACTTTAATAGAATTATGAACTTCAGGAGAGGGAATTTGACTGTTTTAAGCTAGACATGGGTTCTAAAGAAATGGTTTAAGAAGATGAGAGCCCAGTGTGGCTAAGAAATACAGGAGACCATGCATACCATGCACACAACATGTGTGAAGAACTACCTTGACTGCAGCTAGGTCGATCAGGTCTAAATTCAGTTATTGTGCCCCTAAAATCATAGCACTTCAGGATGTTTAGAAATTATTGAAAGTCATCTATTTCAACTCATGTATCACTTGAAAATAATGCTCATATTGAGTGGAATAGTGTGTTGTTTTTGTATCTGTCTCATAGAAAGTGTTTTATGCTGTTCCTAGAGTGCAGAATATAACCTGATTTCCCCAGTACACATCGATCTTGGTGATTCCTCTGTGATTAGATGTTATGATCTTGGAAGGAAAACTGTTGATAACAAAGATGTATCTATTCTTAGTTTCTTTTTTTCTGTTTGCAACCATACAATATGATCTTTATTAAAAGAGTAGTGTTTCTGTTAGTCTTTTCTAGATCTATCTGCCTACCTACCTACATCCTTACTTACTGTGATGCTGTGTATTCATTGAACCCAAGGCTTTGCTCATGCAAAGCACTTCCTCTACCACTGAGTTACACTTCCAGCCGTTGTGTTATTCTTGATGCTTTCATTTACACTGCAATAATTGGTAAGAATTGGTAAGCTGGAGCTGTGGTCCCCTCTTGTGAGCTGGAGATGTGAAACTTCCCTTGGAGCTGGAGCAGTGGCCTCCTTGAATCATGATTTGTCATCCTGCCCCACCACCCAACTGGAGCTATGGTGGTCCCATCCTGGGAGTTGGAGCAGTGTTACCCCACCCCCCACGCCCGCCACCATCATCTTGAGCTGTGGTGCTCTCCTGTAAGCTGGAGTTGTGGTCTCCTCCTGTAGCAGGAACTCTGGTCCCTCACATGAACCTGAAACTTTGGACCACTACTGTGAACCACAATTTCACATTCCTCTGGTAGTAGACTGATGGTGGAGAAGAGTAGAGCATAGAGGACTTCCTGATGTTGGGCAGCAGTTTCAGTCTTCTCTGAGTGACTACCTTCCCCACAGTTCCCTCTCCTGAAGTCCCAAATTGAGGCTGTACATAGCAGAGACTTTGCTTCTTATGCTGGGGACAGGGGAGGCCTCTGTTATTTGCTGATTCTTATCTTGGGAGGACTGATTATCTGGAAAGGACATCCTACCTCCCCTCAGGGCCAGCCATGGTCCTCACTCCATACATGGTCCTGGGTATCCAGGCCTTGATACTGGACTTCTGCCATTTCTAGGCACAAAGAGATTTTCTATTGTCTTTTATTGCTCTGCAGCCCCAGTATGCCTTCAGCTATGCCCTAACTGAACTTGTAGAGATAAAAATCACAATCTGGGATGTTAAAAACAAAACAAAAAACAAAAAAAAAAAGAAGAGATAGAAAGTACTGTAATTACTGTCCTTATATAATTCTCAAACTACAAATATAGTTATACCTTAGAATATCAATTTGCACTTATGTATGTCTACTATAATTTTTCAGTATTTTTTACTGGCAAAACTGTACTACCAAACTTCACCAATAATGTAAAATTTTATCACTGTTCCTATAATGTGAGTATGCCACTCAATCCCTTTCCAAATTCTCCACCTAAAAGATTCTGTCAATGTAATCATGTTACTTCTTAAAGATAGGAGTGCTAATAAAATCTTTTTAAAGTAAAAAAAAATAATAATTGTGAAAATTAGTCAGATGTTAATATCTCTGGAGCAGAAAATGGTGTTACAATAAGGATTTTTTAGGATGCGAAGAAACAGGTCACAATTTTTAATTAAGAGCTGTATATGCCATTGTATTTTTATTATATTTTAGATTTATGTTCTGATGAGTTGATAGAAACAACTGGTCCAAATGGTATCTGTCTAGACTCTGTTGCCTCTGGGATGTGCTAATGATCCAGGATATAGATTTCTGAAGCTTCACATGGTTTTATCAGTCAATCTCCAAGATGCCTCAGAGACCACTAAGAGAGATAATAAATCAAGTGAGATTTGGTTGTGTCTGATAACATACAAAGAACTATAATCAGAAAGAAAATATTTAACATGAAGAAAATATGTAAGTGTAGATAGTTAGGGTTTTGAAGAGATCCACTAAATAGCAATTCTGAAACACGAGGTAGATGAAAAGTGGAGCACTGCTTTAACACTGAAAATAGTGAGACTGAATGTTAGATCCTATCTTAAGTGTCTAATGGGCTTACTAACTGAATATCGAAGTTATACAGATTTATTCCCCATTAATAGAAAGTGTTAGATCCCTTCTTTCCTTTTTGTGACAAGCTAGGTCCATTGTAGATCAACTTTCCTCCTACCTCTGTATACTGGGGATTGAATCCAGGGCCTTGCACATGTTCAGTAAGGGATCTACCCTTGAGCTATACCCTCAACTTTATTAACTTAATCTGAGCAACATTTACCATCTATAGATATCTTGGTTTCCAGAATGGAATACAGGATTTCCTAAGCCATACATGCCCTACTTTTTCTTCTCAATTTTTGCCAGTCAAAGGAATTTCCTTCTCTTGGAATAGATAAAACTAGAGTAAGTAGTTAGGGACTGTAGTAACTGAATTTTATTTTAATGGGGGTGGGGGACACGAGGGGCTGGTGATGGCAGAAGCATTTCTTCCAACATCCAAAATTACATTGAGCTTTCTATATTCTAAACTCTCTGCAGTTAAGATTTTTCTTAAAATTGTGCAAAATAGTGATGATGAATTGTTATTGCCGCAGCATGTGTGAGCTTGATGATTACTTCCTGGACTGTGACCCTTTGATATTTCCCTTAATTACCAATTAAGGCCCGTTTATGGAAGGAATATAAGTCCTAGTTGGCATTGGGAAACCTGATTAAGCCTTCTGATAGCACCAATTTTAAACTTTTCAGAACAGGCACCAGCAGCTTGAAATAAAATACTGGATGCAACATGGAATATTCCTTTAAGACAGTTACAGTCTTGGTGACCCAGAATGATATTATTTAGAAACCAGTGACAACTCTGAATCAGTCATTTGCAAGAGCTGGACTGTGAATATTATGTAATTTTAAGAATGCCTCGATGAATTTATTTTTCTTATATTTCCTTTTTGAATGTGCTTGAGAGATTTATGGAAAACGTCCTTATTTACATAGCCAGAGAAGCTTTGTAATAAGATAAAGCGAAGAGTTTAAGAAAACATATATTTTCATAGAATTCTTTCATGAACTAGTACATAAAATAATATGTCTTACAATCAATGACATTTTTAATTTGGTGACAATGGGGTCATTTGGGTTTATATGGTCCACTCCCATATTCTAAACTCTCTGCAGAATGTCACTTCTTCCCTGTCCTAAAAGTTCTATGTGCTTTACTTTACATAACTAGACACTGGTCTACAGATCAAAGTTTTAACCTTAACTGAGTTATAACCTTGAACTGTTGCTTTAGTATTGGTTCCTCCTAGGCTTGCTTTTTTCTCATTGCTGAGTGATTACTTCATAGATTATTAAAGAGAAAGACTGGATCATGCCATTTAAAATAACTGTGAATAGTGAGGGTAACTTCAAAGGTGGCCTTTTGACAATATAACACTTGTGTAGAGAGGCTTAATTTGTTTATTTTGTAAAACTTCTAATGAGCTAAATTTCTCTTTCTTTTTTTCCCTGAAAGGAGGTCCTGATGACAACTTAATTGAAGGTGGCGGAACGAAATTTGTCTGCAAACCTGGAGCCAGAAATATCACTGTCATATTCCATCCATTACTAAGGTAAGTCAACCCCTATGATGTACTCACTGAAGATCAGTTTTCTCATTATTTATGCTGATGTGCTGAATGCCAGTAGTTCAGTCAGCATAAAGTCATTAAGAAAAAAAAAAGGAAACTTGTTTCATTTTGTAGGGTTTCACAGTGAAAGTTAATCAATAGAACAGATAATGTCAGCCTAAGTAGCTGCTTGTTCTCAGGAGTAATAGCTCATAAACACCTTGGTTTAGTTTCATTTTCTTTCTTTTTCCCTCTCTAGTCCTGCTTATCCTATTCTCTCCCCCATCCCCCCATATACACAGCTTCTCCTTTCTTCAAACTATCTTAGTTGGCAAGCCGAGACTCATTGGAGAAATCAAGCCTGCCACCTGTTTTCATACATATGGTTTTACTGACCACAGTCTTGCTCATGTGTTTATGTATGACCTGTATCTGCCTCTGTGTTATCACCACAGAGCTGAATCGTTGCATCATAACCCAGCTGGCCCACAAAGCCTAAAATATTTACTATATGTCTCTGCACAGGAACAGCCATCATCGACCCATTGTCTATATCACTTAAACTAATGACTACTCCTTATCATTTGAGAATTAAGTCCCTGAACAAATATAATTTTAAAAACCTGAAAATGTTTTAAAAATCAAATGTATGCCTTTACTTCTTGAAAGATACTTTGATGGTGGTGAGAGTAAAATAAAATGTTACACTCTTCAGTTTATTATTATTTTGTGCTTGTCGGAAAAAGAAAAATTCATGATGCTTCCATAAAAAAAGTTTCTAAGTCCTAAATATCTTTATCCAAGTACTTTCTACAAGGAGGTGAAAGGACAGTTGCTCAATGGTTACAAACTTTGTTTTGCAATTAATAATTTCTACGTATCTGCTACATAACACTGTGTATGCAGTAGTTAATACTACTGTGTATAAACTTATAGAAGATAAGATGGTATATCAAATTCTGTGGTTCTGGTTCTTTAAATTTGTTTTAAAAATACATAAGGAACAAAAATTTTACATATTTACAGGATAACATGTCTTGATAAATGTAAGTATCCTGTGTGCCATCAGGTTAAATACCTCAGTCATTTATCATTTTTGTGGTAAAATTCTCAAATCCCGCTTTTTGAAGTATATGGTACATTATTGTTATCTTCTCACCCTGCTGTGCAACACTGTTTCAGTACTTCATCCTCCTACCAACTTTAAGTTGCTACTCCTTGCTCAACTTTTGTGCATCCTTCCTTCCTATCTTGTCTTCTTCTAGAAGAGAAGCTCTTCCACATGAGTAAAACTGTGGAATTTGATCCATGTTGTCACAGCTGACAGGAATTCATCATTTAAAGACTGATAAGCAATCCTGTGTGTGTGTGTGTGTGTGTGTGTGTGTGTGTGTGTGTGTGTGTGTAGGACACTGGACACTGAGTTATTTGCATTTGGGGGTATATAACCAGAATTGGAATTGCTGCATCATATGATAGTTCTGTTCTCAATTTTCTTGAGTATTTCCAGACTGTTTTCCATAATAGCTGTATTAATTGACATTTCAAACAATGTGCTGATAGTAGTTAACACTATTTTTAAAATTTTTATTTATTTTTATTTTATGTGTATAAGTGTAGTGCCTGCATGTAGGTAAGTGCACCCATGTCGTGCAATGCCTGCGGAGGACAAAAGAGGCCACTGGATCCCCAACTGGAATTTCAGACAATTAGTAGCTGCCATGTGGGTGCTGGGATTCCAACTTGGGTCTTCTGCAAGAACAACTAGTGTTCTTAACCGCTGAGCCCTCTCTCCAGCCCAATAATTAACACTATTTTATAATATACTTAAAAAAGGTTTATATGGGAAATTTAATATATCTTCACCATATTTTATAAAAGGAACTTTTGTATTCAGATAGCTAATATAATATCAATTTTCTCTGTAATGAACCATTATAAATTTGGCTGTATTTTTATATGACGGATAAGAAACTTATAGATTCACTAAAAGGTATATCTCAGAATAACATAATATCTGTCTAAGATAAATTCAAGTAAATTTACTTAATTTAAGAATTACAGGATTAAGAAAAATAAGAATATTCTCTTAGTTGATACTATGTATATCATATGTAATAGGTAAATTATAACATAAAACTTCTGTATTAAGTGGTACTTTTCATATCAGTGACTATAGTAATTAGTTTAGTATGTGTTCTCTTCTGCGATCATAATTGATTTTTATTTAGTGTTGTTAATTGTTGATAAAATGGGAAAATGCTTGAATCATTATAGGCACCTTCTAAGCTGGATTTAACACTGACTTCCTGCTATATTAACCTGTAGCTTCAGCAGATGGAGTCCTTATGTGTACATCACTTCACGCTTGGAAGGAATTCTGTGGCGGCTACTAAGTACTGTTGACAGTGGCTACTTATCGAGAGATTTCTTTTTTCTTAGCAAGTTTTTTCAAATATAAAGTATGGAGAAAAATGTATCTCAGTTCCTTTTCATACCCAACCTGTGTTTCTTATAGAAGACAGGTAGAGTTTCATGTATTATGAAGTTCTTGATGTTTTTAGTGTAATATTCCCGCTGCTTTGTTAGAGTTGTTTTAAGGCATGATAGGCTCTTCTTCCTCTAACTTATTTTGTCTATACTTTAATTCAGAATTTTAATTTATTATTGATAAGAACTAGATAAGGTTTGTCACATGGTATATTTCATCATTAATTCTTCCTCTGTGTATCACTTAATACAAATAATGAGAATACATAGTTTGCGAGGTAAGTTAATTCTTTGATAAACAAACATGTGACAATTATGGACTGTACATTAGCTCTTGACTGACATTCAAATCTTGCTCCGTAAATGCCTTATTGAGTTTCAGTTGAAATCTCATAATGGGCTTGAGAAACTTGAAGTGACTAAAGTTTTTTCTTATTTTTTACTTTTTTATTTTAGTTTTTGTTCTCTAATATTTCCTGAGTGCCTATTATTTCCTTTTAAGTTTCTAAACTGAATTTTAAAAAATATTTTATTTTATGTGTATGAGTGTATTGCCTGCATGTATGTAAGTGCACCTGTTTCATGCAGTGCCCACAGAGGTCAGAAGAGGATGTTGAATCCCCTAGAACTTAAGTTACAGACAGTTTTAGCCACCAGTGGGACTCACTGAACCTGGGTCCTCTGCAAAAGCAGCCAGTGCTCTTACCCTCTAAGTCCTCTTTCCAGCCCCTATAAACTTAATTTTGTAATTACAAGAATCAACATATATATAGTGTATTCCCACACATCAATTTTCATTATGCGTTACCTCTTTAACTACTAGTAATTATATTAATAGACTAGTCAAACATATGTTATTATTTTAAAGGCACTGTCACAAAATGATACAGGCAGTATAGAAGAATAGATGCCAAAAAAGCAGAAGACTTGAAGTTTAAAATGAAATCCAAGGTATCTTTCAAGTTTAGGCTCTTTTTCTTTAGTTTCTTTAACCAATTATTTATTGGACTCTGACTCCATGGGAAGGCTTCAGGAAACAAGACAAGACATCCTATCTCCAAGGTGCTCACTTACAGGGTTGCAAGTTTTGCATAGGTGTCAGAAGTTAACAGGTCTTGACACAATAGTGACTGGAAAGGATGCGAATCAATGGGATCTTTTAGACCTTATGTGGGAGTTGAAATCCACAGTGCCTCTCTGGAAGCCAGTTTGACATTTCCGTTAATTCTCATATCTTATTTCCCATTAGTCATCTCCTCCTTCTGCTATTCTTGAATGTTTTTCTCCTTAGATCAAATGACTCATATTCTTGTTTCATTCCAAACTCTTTTGCTAATTGATTATGACAGTTGTTTTTATTTATAACTTACATCATGATTAAGAAGTTCTGAAGTAACTTTCCACACTTTGACTTTTATCATGAGTTAACAATTTAATGACTAATGGTTATATTAATCTACTATTTGAGCATATCTCATTGCTTCCTTGTTAGTTTTTACTAAGCTTAAATATTTTCCTCACTAGAAGGGAGAGACACTTTCCTTTGCTGGTTTTCTGATCTGTCTTGCTTCACTGGTACTCCGTGTTCCTGAAAGTTTGCATATAGCTTTGTACACTTCCTTTTACGAAGAAAGCACTTTTCATGATTTTCATTCAGCTACCTGTGCACTCTATACAGCCTGGAGGATTGTCTATATTGGAAACTCTGAATTACCCTTCTGAGAACACTGCAGAGCAGATTCCTGTTATATTATTTGATATATTCCCAGCAGTCCCATGTGCTATCCTCTCATAAAATTATCCTGCAAGGTCTTCTCTTCTGGCAACCTTACAGACTTAGTTTTGTACTCTCCTCGTAACCAAGACAGCCTTGTCACTAGGAAATCACATGGGATGATGGCAGCAAATTGACTGGCTTCCAATTTGTTCACCCCATTAACTCTGCTGGCCCTTTTATCTGTATGTTTAATAGCTTCCTTACTGTTTGTCTTCTGGTCAATCTTGTGACTCAAAAAGATGGACTATGGTATCTTCTTGCTTGCTTTACTCTTAGCCTACCAAGACACTGTGAGCACTTAAATCCTCAGTGAACACTTATAATGATGAGAGGTCACTTTGTCAATTTTTCTGCCTGAATCTAAATGATGAAAAACATACTGAAATAATTTTTTACATTGACTAAAACACTGAGTTTTAATTTTCCTTGTATGTAAGCAAAGGGTTGGTCTGGATGTTGAGTTCTGCATTTTAATTTTTATGATTCTGTTATGAGAAATGTCTTTATATAGAGAGAATTCAAAGGTCTAACTTTTTAAAAGTTCAAATGACAAGTGGGTTTTACGGTGTGTTTTTCTTTTACTTCTTTCCTTCAACTAGCTACCTGACTCTTGGGGGTCACGAGCCCTTTCATAGAGAAGGTAGGCTATAAGACCACTGAAAACAGCTGCTTACAGTCTTGTGACTTGGTAGAGGCAAGCAGCTGGTAGCAGAGGAATGGTGAGGGCATGTATAGC